ACGCATGAAAACGACGAACGCGCTACACATGTTGGGTATCGCCGCGCACGCCGGAGTGAGAGCAATAATTTTAGGGCCAGTATTTTGGGGTATCTCTAAATTGATGACCTGTGGGGGCTTTTAAAGCGTCTCCTGTGGACTTTTTGGGGTACTGCAGTTTTTTGCCGTTTCACGGACGCACGCAATTTGTAAACTGGGCATGTTGGGTATCGTTTTACTCGTTGTAACCTCATCTTTTATATTTCATTTAAGAAATGGGTATTTTGTTGTGTTTTGGGGCATTTAATTCAATTCATCACTAACTTTTGGGGTTTAATAAGGAGTTGCGCTAATATTGCGCAACATAAAAATTTGCAACTACCACCATTATATTGTATAGGGTCTTGGCATCCAGAAAATATATGTGTGGGGGTTTTAAGTAATTTTCAGGCCTAAAATGTGGAATATAACATGGGTGCAAAAAATGAAAAAAAGGCCTCAGTCATGAAGGGGTTAAAGTAAACCTAATAATAAACCTACATATTTGTTCACTGAAATACACTTAAAGGAGAACTATGAGGTTGAGTGCTTTTCACTCACCTCATAGTTCTAGCCGACCTGTGACAATGAGACTGTCACAGGTTGGCTCAGTAGATCGGGAGGTGAGCGAACACATACCGGCGTTCGCTCACCTCTCGATCCTGTCACGGCTCTCTGCCGTGACAGGGGAGGCGCTGGATTCCCCCCTCCCCGCTCCAATCCGCCAGCGCTGACTGGCAAAACGGACAGGGGAGGGGGCGGGTACAGCTGACTCTCCCTCTAGATAGGCAGAGCCAGCTGTCAGTCACGCAGCTGGGCGGATCCAGACATAATTGTCAGGAATCCGCTTCAGCTGCGGCGTCTTAGTATACCACGAGCAGCAGCTCGAGGTATACTGAGCCTAGGGTGACGGGAGGACGCTAGTTTGTGTCCTCCCGTTACCCTAAGGAGAACTATGGGGAAAAGCCTTAACCCCATAGTTCTCCTTCAAGGTTCCTTTTAAGTATATTGGCTTATCTGAGGTATTTAAAGACAAAGAGGTATCTTTTATCATTGCTATAGCAAATGCTTTATGACTTCATCAGCATAAAAACTAGAGATAGGACATTACATTATACTGTCATACACTGCTCACCTATTGTACATGTTTTGCATCCAGTGCCACAGTCAACACACTCTCCATTCTCAGGGTCTTGTACTTGGCCTGGTATCGAGTTTAGAAGGAAAAGACAAGGTAAAAAACACAAATAAGTTAGCTACGTCATGACTTTATTAACTTTCTCATAGACCTAAAGCTAGCCCCAGATATGAAAACCTTATGATGAAGAATCTATCAAAAATGTGCTTCTGTGCAGTCTGAGACAGCTCTTAAAAATGTGCCTCCAAATGTAACTGTTCCTAGCCTAGCACCCTCTAATGTGCAAATAAATAGTGATGGGCTGCACACAGCTGAGTTCGGTTCGAGTTCGAACTTTAGAACATAGAAAAAGTTTGAACTCGAACTTACGGGGGACGAGCGAGGAGGCCCCCCCTCCCTGCCATAACCAGGCCACATGCCCCCGGCAGTGAGAGGGTGCTTCTCCAGGGTCGCCCCTGGAAAAGCACCTTGCCCCATGCCGATGAGGACAAGGGCCTCTTCCCCACAAGCCCTGGGGCGTTGGTTGTGGGGGTTCGGGCAGGGGGGCTTATTCACATCAGGATACCCCTTTAATAAAGGGGTACTAAGATGCGCCCCCCCCTTGTGAATGAGTAAGGGGTATATCATGAGGTACTCTGGCTGTACATTGGGGATTAAAATATAAACCCAACGCATCCTGTATTGTGCAGCCAACATTATGAAAATATGGAAAATCATGATGTATGAATGCCTCCCATAAAACAATGCATTGAGAGACATCTGCTTGTTCTTAAATAGTGTAATGGTCCTAATGGGTATCTTACTCACCAAAAAAAGAGTAGTATCATCTTCTACTTGCTTTCCATCAACAAGTTGGACATTTTCTGACATGAAAAGTATGTTGAATGTTGAATTGCCCCCAAGGTTAGCTCTGAATTACCCTAGCCTCACCCAAGTTCTGCATTGGACTACTGGATCAGGGGAGGGAATGGGCTGTTTATGGTCATGCTAAAGCAAAAAAATTCTGAATAATCTAATATTTCTACCCAAGTATTACCTAAGTCTTTGCTCCAAATTTCTCTGTGATGCTTTCTTTATATATTATTAGACTGTAAATAATTTTTCAGGAATCGTTTGCATTGTATGACATCTTAATACTGGTTAGCGAAAGTCCTAACATATACATATTCTGACAATTATCAATAAAATGAACAGGTCTTTATGCCCACGCTGGTGATAGTTAGAAATTATGTCTCACTTACCTCCATTGTTCATGTTCTTAAAAAGGCATAAGGGAGACCACAGGTGATTAAACCTCCATTTTACTAACGTTATTTATATCTTTGCTAAGCAGTCTGCTGTCTCTCCATGGCTTGTGAAGCAGCGTTTCATATAATGAAAAGTGCAGAGTCAACATGTTTCTGCTGTATTCAGAATCCCTGCTGCATGTATTTCTCAGATAACAAGCAGAAGTGATGAATAACTTTTATTATACAATCGCCTCCACCTGTTCTCTCTTATCTGAACAATACAGCACACGGAAAAAGATGTGTTTCTCTTAAAAAGGTCACACCTTTGTGTGCTAAAATTGATTCAATCTGATATTTGAAGTTATTTTTTGTATTTAATGCCCCATTTAGTGTATATAAAAAGTGTATATATAAACCTTACTTTAATAATAATGTTCTTAACATGTATAGGTTACACACTGTAATTTCATAATTCAGCTTAATAACAAATTAAGAGGACTTGGACAACAGTATAAGCCTGAAAAATAAGTTATACTTAAATGTTTTATATACAGTTGTGCTCAAAAGTTTGCATACCCTCTCAGAAATCATGGAAATTTGGCATTGATATTCAAAATAGAACTGATCATGCCAAAAAACTGTCTTTTATTTATGGATAGTGATCATATTAGGTCATTTATCATCACATTGTTGTTTGGCTCCTTTTTAAATTATAATGATAACAAAAACCACCCAAATGGCCCTGATCAAAAGTTTACATACTCTGGAATGTTTGGCCTTGTTACAAACACACAAGGTGACACACACAGGTTAAAATGGCAATTAAAGGTTAATTTCCCACATCTGTGGCTTTTTAATTTGCAATTAGTATCTGTGTATAAATAGTCAATGAGTGTGTTATCTCTCACATGGATGCTCAACAACATCTTGACACACCTCACAGCTTCTGACACACTGTAATTTGGAGTGACAAGAACAAAATAGAGCTTCATGGTCACAACCATAAGCGCAATGTTTGGGGAGGGGTCAACAAGGCCTATAGCGACAAGAATACCATCCCCACTGTGAAGCATGGTGATGGCTCACTTTTTTTTTGGGGGGGGTGAGCTCTAAAGGCACGGGGAATCTTGTGATAATTGATGGCAAGATGAATGCAGCATGTTATCAATTTGCATCCTTCTGCACGAAAGCTGTGCATGGGACGACTTTGGACTTTCCAGCATGACAATGACCCTAAGCACAAGGCCAAGTTGATCCTCCAGTGGTTACAGCAGAAAAAGGTGAAGGTTCTGGAGTGGCCTTCTGATCTTAATATCATTGAGCCACTCTGGGGAGATCTCAAACGTGCGGTTCATGCAAGACAACCAAAGACTTTGTATGACCTAGAGGCATTTTGCCAAGACAAATGGGCAGCTATACCACCTGCAAGAATTCGGGGCCTCATAGACAACTATTACAAAAGACTGCACGCTGTCATTGATGCTAAAGGGGGCAATACACAGTATTAATAACTGAGGGTATGCAGACTTTTGAACAGGGGTCATTTAATTTTTTATTTTTTTTGCCATGTTTTGTTGATGATTGTGCCATTCTGTTGTGACTTTCAGTTGAATATGAATTCCATAAGAAATACAATAAATGTGTTTTGCCTGCTCGCTCATGTTTTCTTTAAATATGGTACATATATTACCAATTCTCCAAGGGTATGCAAACTTTTGAGTACAACTGTATGTTAACTTATGGTAGTGGGGACTAAATGTAAAAAAACAGGAGCAGAATTGTAAAAATGGTTACAAACTGATCTATATTAAATATACAGCATTTTGGCTTTATGTACATAGGCCTGCCACTTTTTCTGGGAAATAATATTGGCCTTAGGCTACATTCACACTGTTTATGATATAGGACATTTCTAAATGCATATACTGATTTTAAATAGTGTAATTTACACTTTGAATTTAGATGTGTTTAGTTTAGCTGCGTTAAAACAGATAGAATTCTGTGCAGAGATCAGATACTTTAAACATGTCTAAACATGTAAACACGTGAACATATAAAAGCAGGCGACCATGACCAACATAAATTTTGTTTATATTTCCCCTATACAGTATATTCCTCTGCATTTAAATAAGCCAGACACAGGACGCAAGTGTGAATGTAACTTTAAAAGTTACAAGTAAAAGTCCCTTTATACCAGCCAGGCCAGCCAGGGTAAATACTGGTTAGGTGGTAACACCATGTACATGGGTGGTCAATAACACAGAGGGGTAGGACCTGTGTGCCTCAAGGAAAGAAAAAGATTCTAAAGTAAGTACATTATTTTCTTTACCCTTAACTGAGGGACACATGAATTTACTAATTCTTAGGCATTTGGGACCTCCAAAAGCAGTCTAGCTGAGCAGTGGGAAACAGCCACTAAGAGAAGCAATGGATGTGGAATCTTACTATTTGGAGTATCTGGAAAAATCAATGTCCAAACAAGAGCAACATGAAAATCGTGATGAAAATAGACATGTGCAATTCGTTTCGCTCCGAATCAAAATTCGGACACATCCGAATTTCCGAATCCCAATGCATCCTAATGTGTCCTAATCCGAATTTCTGTTTCCGAATTTTGGATCCTGTCGAATTTCATTTAAAAACTAAGCTGAATCGGAAAAATTACTTTTCGGGCCAATGAGATGTGTTTTTCGGTTTAATGCAACCGAATGGGTCTGAACACAGATTTTTGTTACGGCAACATGAGAGCCATATACAGTATATACACATAATACTAAATGGCATTCGCAATTCGAATTTCAGAATTGCATTCAGGAGCTCCCAAATATAATTCGGGTTTGGGAGCCAAAGACATATATTACTAAAGCTGAGGCTCCCAGACACGAATGGCATTCAGGAGCTCCCACATGCAATTCAGGAATTCAGATCCTGAATGCCATTCGGGTCTAATAGATTCAACTTTAGTATTAATATCTGTATACGGTTTTCTGTGGTATTCGCAACGAATATTCGTAAACTAATCCGAAACTAACAAAATTTGGATTTCGTCCGAATCAGAAACCTGATTGAATTTCGGATATGAATCCCGAAATAACTAAATATCCAAATCGAATTTTTCCGCAGCTTACATGTCTAATATAAAATATGAAAAGACAAGAAAGACACCAAGGATCAAATTTGTGTTCCAGATCAGGCCAGAAATAACCAGTTAGGAGTAACTGATACCTAAAGGAGCCCAACTAACAATGTGGAGACAACCAATTACCATGCATCATAAAAAACAGCTGAAAACAAATAGACCAACAATTAAGGTTATCAACAAAAAGGGTGTGTATTGAGATAAAGGCCAAAGCCCAGGGGTGTGGAATTCGTAACGCCCGACCGCCCGGGACATGTAGTTTCGGGCGTCGGGCCAGTAGTTCTTCCACTGTTTTAGTTTGACTTTTTTAAACGAGCGCCGAGAGCGGCGCTGCGAGCGGGGGGCGTGGACCGGCGAGAGCGCTTCTTAGCACTGCTAAATACGGTTTTGGTTAAAATAATTTTTTTTGTATCAGGACAAGTAGATTGTCATGAAGGACAAGTAGATTCGGCCCCCACTTTAGACCTTGGACAAGTAGTTTTTTCCAAAATTTCCACACCCCTGGAAAGCCTAAGATACCAAATACCTGACTGCAGGGAAAGTAGACAAAAAAGGTATGTCAGAATCAAAAGACTTGAGTGGTGCACTCTTAACTTAACACTCTAAACAAAAAGACTAACCAAGGTGCAACAAACTCCCACTATATCTGGAAAAAATAGCATGAGTGGGAGGTAGACAGAGAACTCTAACACAGCACA